AAGACTTGAACAATGTCATGTTCTAAAACAAGACTTTGAACAATGTCATGTTCTAAAACAAGACTGTGAACAATGTCGTGTTCTTAGACAAGACTTGAACAATGTCATGTTCTAAAACAAGACTTGAACAATGTCATGTTCTTAAACAAGACTTGAACAATGTTCGACTGTCTATTGGAGTTTTTGTTTGTTTCTTTGTGTCATTTTACGCCTTTTTCCAACAGTATTTCAGTCATATAGGCGGGTAGTTTCCTAACCATCGTTCCTGGAGAGTTACACCAGAACTTGACTACCTTCCTCGTGCTAAACTACCAAAGCATCTCCCGGGTATCGAACCCACGTCAGAGAGGTAACTGGGTTAGAAGTCATCGACTCTAACCACTCGACCACGGAGGCGGTCTATTTGAGTGGTGAGCTAATGGTTAAGGTGTCTGCCTCTCAATCCAGGAATCATGGCATTGAGCCCTTCTTGGTTCACATCCATGTGTCTTCTTAAACACCAGTACTGGTTGGTTCCAGGAAGTGGACTTGAAAGTGAGTAATGTAAGTTGCAAGAACTTGTTTCACAATCGGGCTTGAATAAATATGTTAAAACTAAGACTGTCAACATCACTCAAGACCTGTTTTCAAACAAAATGAAATGGCCCTGTAAGATCTACAAATTATTCATTATAATTCTGTCATAGCCTTTTTTTCCCCTACACATTAAAATAAATTGCAAAATTTTGCCTTCTGGCAGTACTTAAAGTACAAAATGTATTTTGATTAGATACAAGTTTCAAACAAAACATCAAATTAAAACCTGCACAAACACATGCTACATTAATTAATGCATATACATGGATGAAATATTTTTTGCCCATTAATCACACAGTCAAACATGTTTTAAACAACATGCCAGGTAAATTGTAGTAGACACATGTCTATCTGTATTATCATGGATGAAAATCAAGATGCTTGGAAGTGCAACAGTTGTTTCGTAAATGAACAAAACATAATAAATTCATAATTTGTTATTGTTTAAAGTTGTATCAACATGGTTACGCAAGCTGATTGTAAAGCAACCTAGATACTGTACAAATTAAGACTTTATTAACTACATGTAATTTTCTGAATTTATTATGTATTATGTCATAATTATAAGGAAACGTTGCTATGACTTCAGGACAACTTGAACATAAAACCCCTAAATTGCAAGACTGACATATCCTTTACATCTATTTTCCTTTCCTACTAGTCATACGGCAAAATTTAGACTTTTCTGGTAGAAACAAAATTTTATTTGCATTATTTCAGGCAGGATAACTGGTATGCACTTGAGTAAAACCTCTAAACTTTTAAGTATGATCAACCTTAATGGAATTGGTAAATATTGAGTAATATCAAGTGATATTATAATGAATGTGAAGCCACTTTCATCTTCTTTTGACAGTCTCATGACAATTTTGTCACAAAAGAGGGTATTTTCAACTGTTACATAATTATGAGAGGAAATTCCAACATGGAGGTTTGCATAATTACTCTTATAAAGACTTTAGGGACCCTTGATAAGTCAAGGAAAGCAAACTTAAATTTTTAAAGGTGGAATTTATAATATAAGTCAGCAGCATTTATGCAAAGTGTTTTGAAGTCAACTTAAATCACAAAACCAAATAAGAAGCTAGGAGCATAATGTACTGTTTTCGTGCCATTTAGATGATTAGATCAGATTCACCCCAATCACCCCACACCCCCCATTTCTGGCAAAAATGAAACATGTTTCCAAGATCTTATTATAGATTCCAATTTTTTCTTCCAACAGCATTTTAATATGAGCCAGAAAGATAATGTGATCACAAAAGAAATCTCTCTGTAGGTGTGTTAATTATGAAACGTGTTATTAATTTACATTTGTCATTAGAAGCATGGTGTTTTATATTAAAACATTTATTGCATTGCGTAAGTAGTTCAAGGTAAGGGAAATTTCTATCAACTATAGGCTTGCAAGTTTATGGTTTTTAACTGATTATGAAACCGGGGAATTATTTAAGAGTTATTCGACTGAGGTTATTTAAAGCTATTTACATAGCCTTAGTGCAATAATAGGTTAACTCCTTATAAAATTTACTAAAAGTTAACCCGTTTCTGCACTATGGTGACAATTTGTTGATTATTTTTTCTTTCCATTTTAAAAAACCCAGTTGATAAATGTAAGAAAATTCTAATTTTATATTTTTATGCCAACATGTTATGCTAAATTAACTATTTCTATAAATTCAAGAAACACTGCCAAATTTTATGTTAAATCCCCTATCTCTATTATAACATGGTGCACAATTCAAGCAACACTGTCCACATTATATAATAAATAAATTATCTTTATCTCTGTAGAACAAAAACAAGTAAATATTGGTGGTTACATAATATCCTGAACACATGTGTTAGGTAAATGTTTACCAGTATGTATATGTCTGAAGCTTTTAACCAAGCAATATGGTTGAGTGGTTAAAGTGTAAGTCTCTGAATCAAGGGATCATGTGTTCGTGCCTTGCTGCACAAATCCTGTTTCCTATACACTTAAGCCCTGTGAGGGTAACAAATCATGTTTCCAATGCCCGCAAGACTTACGAGGGTAAGAAATCATGTTTTCAATGCCCGCAAGACTTACGAGGGTAAGAAATCATGTTTTCAATGCTCTTAAGACTTACCAGGGTAAGAAATCATGTTTTCAATGCCCGCAAGACTTACCAGGGTAAGAAATCATGTTTTCAATGCCCGCAAGACTTACGAGGGTAAGAAATCATGTTTTCAATGCCCGCAAGACTTACGAGGGTAAGAAATCATGTTTTCAATGCCCGCAAGACTTATGAGGGTAAGAAATCATGTTTTCAATGCCCGCAAGACTTACGAGGGTAAGAAATCATGTTTTCAATGCCCGCAAGACTTACGAGGGTAAGAAATCATGTTTTCAATGCCCGCAAGACTTACGAGGGTAAGAAATCATGTTTTCAATGCCCGCAAGACTTATGAGGGTCAGAAATCATGTTTTCAATGCTCTTAAGACTTACCAGGGTAAGAAATCATGTTTTCAATGCCCGCAAGACTTACGAGGGTAAGAAATCATGTTTTCAATGCCCACAAGACTTAAGAGGGTCATAAATCATGTTTCCAATGCCCTCAAGACTTACGAGGGTCAGAAATCATGTTTTACAATGCTCTCGAGCCCTGCAAGGCTCACAAATCATGTTTACCAATGAGACACTATAACTGTTTGGCTCCAGAGGGTGGATTCAAAAGTGGTTGAAACAAGAAGATGGACTCACAAATGGTTAAAACAAGAAGCAGGACTCAAAAGTGGTTGAAACAAGAAGGTGGACTTAAAAGTGGTTGAAACTTGCACAACAAAACAAAACAGTCATTTACTTACCTCCGCTTATCAAACATATAGAACACAAGGTAGCTAACTCCATCTCATCAACATCCATTTCCCTGAGTGAACGTGCAAATCTAAATATAGTATCAGTCAATGAGCCGAAACCAGCCGACTCCAGCTGCTGGCGAGAAACATTGAGTCCCCCACTGAACACCATAGTATCCGATTCTATATCATATCTAGAACTCAACCGTAATATCTGAAATACAAACATCGGATTCTATATTATATCTAGAACTCAATTGTAATATCTGAAATAGGAACATCAGATTCTATATCATATCTAGAACTCGACCGTAATATCTGAAATAGGAACATTGGATTCTATATCATATCTAGAACTCAACCGTAATATCTTTAATACGAACATCAGATTCTATATCATATCTAGAACTCAACCGTAATATCTGAAATACGAACATCGTCTTCTATATTATATCTAGAACTCAACTGTAATATCTGAAATAAGAACATCGGATTTTATATCATATCTAGAACTCAACCGTAATATCTGAAATACGAACATTTGTTGCCATCAATTTCTAAATATGTGATTTCATCTACTTTTAGCACAAAATAAAAGTCTCTGCTTTTAGATTGTGTGAAATAAAATTAAATTAAAGCCCCCCTTTTCATGACTGTTTAATATAATTTGAAAATGACCGACATCTTAAGAATCATTTCATAATATAATTTTTCAACTTGGTGCAGTAACAGGTTAAGTCCTTCTAAATTTAACAAGAGTTAACCAGTTATTGCACTAAGGTGATGACATATGTCTAGAGAAATCTACCACTCCTTACATATGCCCTAAGAACAATTAATTTTTTGTCTTCCCTCTAAGTTAAAATGATCTGTATAATTGGGAAAAGGCCTTTATAAGCCTTTTATGCTTTCTAATCTGATCCTTTTTCATCATTGTATTGAGTTATTCATTACTCCATGTAAATTTTGTTTGCAGAAAATGTTTCATTGAAAAACTTCAGTATATTGTATAAGTAAATACGAAAAAACATTAAAAACTTACCATTATCTCTAAACAAGCTGCCTTTAATAAAGTTATTTGATCAGTTGTACTAAATGAACAAAATCCAGGAATTTTCTTAGCAAAGTCCACTATTTTTATTATCCCACGTGAGGACAGTTCCGTTATTTTTTCCCACAACATTATATTTTCAGCAGTCAATTCTTTTTTCTGCTCCTGAAAAAAAAAATATTAATGATCAATTGTTATGATTAAATTCTATTTAAATTCAGGGGTCACTGGATCCGGTCTGGGTCAAGTCCAAAGGTGGTTTTTGTAGTTCACCATTCAGATCATGGTGGTAACCCGTTTTGAATTTCCCAGAGCACAGTTCATCCACCCCATCATTCCTGGGCACACTGTCAAACAGTTTACCAGTATCGGAGTGCCTTCGATTTGGCAAAGAACTGATATTACTCTTGTGCATACAAGAGCAGAGGTAAAGTGTAAATGATTTCATAGTTCATCAAAATTAAAGTGACCTGCACTATCCTGGCATCAAACCTATGTCGCCAGATTTACAGTCCACATTCTACTAATTTAGCTAACCGGACAGTTCATACAGGTTGATAACCAATCAAATAATTACTATTTTTCATTGGCTAATTTTCAAAATTCAAAATTCAAACAAGCCAATTGGAATACAAGAAATTCTGGACTGGTTTAATTTTTAATTGATAATTATCTTACTTTCATCTCAGCCTCCGAGAAGTTTGGCTCACTTCGTGATGTTTTGTCTCGTTTTTCCGCTAAATTCTCAGACAGCCCAACCAGTTTTATACTGTTCATATTTAATGGCGAGAGAGGCACAACATCATCCTTCGAGTATGTGGCTTTATGAGCTTCAAGAATATCCTAAAAATAGAAAAACAACATTTCTAACAAATATTCACCTATTCAACTTTAATGTCAGACTTGTCGAATTACTCATTGTTAATTCAAGAGACTTTCAATACATCAAAATGTTAAAACTAAAAAAGAATGTACTAACTTTTTGAATTAATTAAACAGCCAATTGTGCTAATGAGTCAGTTTAGGCAGAATTTTTTTTTTAGTTAAATACTAGTACTGTTCAAGTGTTTCATACAAATCTTTTTATAAACATTATCTAGTCAATGTCTTGGGCTAGTGCTTAAACGCACATTGTGACTCAGAAATGCTACCATTTTAATTTCTCAAAAATATGTTTGGTATACATAATCATATATTTAATGTTTGATATTTTGTTACAGTTTCTGAATTCTAAAATAATACTTATCTGGCAAATAGAGGAACTATAATTTTCTACTTTTGCTCTGTTATTAATTGGTATATATCTATATTGAATTAGTTATTTGTATGTAAGTCAAAATGCTACTGTATTAACGTTTTGCTACCTTTATGACACATCACAGCACATTCTGTTGTTTAACATATAAAATGCTTTAAATCCATTATTAGAATTATATATGTGTCTTACAAATCTAAAGAATTAAAAAAACATGTATTTCTGAGACATATGGTTTTAAAGAAAAAAGTTGTCAAAAACTCAGCATTTTTTCAAGAATACCCCAAAATGAACACAAAATTTCTACCCACCTGAAGCAATGACATTTCTTCATCTGTCGGAGTGTGTTCCTCGGGTGAGGGTGACTGATCGTCCGGTTTTTGCATTTTCTTCTTTTTATTACGGTCATTCCTCACGGCTGAAATATAGAAAAAATACCTGTAATTAGTAGATTCATAAGTGATATATTGCAAAAACTAAAGTTAATGATTTTAAGGGTATTTTGACTACATGTATTTAACTGAAAAAAATAAATAAATAAAACAACAATAATCTAACTCTAAATTTATAGGCAGTATAAAGGGTAGCAGAGTAGCACTCATTTTATTGTTAGTCACCTGTCCTAAGAAGAGCCACCAGCCGGTTGTTTTTGTTTTTTTCTATGAAAAAAAGTCAAGCTAAAAATGATATATTGCTATTCTCCACGACTTGCTATCCATGTGTTTTGACCTAAGGCTTAAGGATACTCGAACCAAAATACTGGTTTTGTTCTTGTTTATTTTCCTAAATAAATGACGTCACAGTTGAATTTAAATACAATCTTAATAAGACAAGAAATACAGTATCTGTATATGTATTATGAGGCAAATAACCAAAATCAGATGATATTTACAGAGTCATTCATAATAAACAGCAGAGCTAAAAAACACATTAAAAGAAATACAGCCTATAAACTGCCAAACATATAGACAGCAAACAGGGGGTCATAATATCAACCCATTAATCTGGACCGTGACTGAAATACTGCCCTCCCCATCATGGTGATGCTGAGCGTATTATATTAATATATTAGTTACTGGTAGTGTACAAAAGATGATTTAACTAATTTGTAAATAACCTCGGTTTTTTGTTGGTTTTTTTTGTAAAGTCATCATGTAATGCATGTTTGAATGTAACATAAACCTACATGATATTTTCAGGGTTGAATGCAAAACTGTTGTAAGCCCTTATTTATTTCATAATAAGTTACGGCAGTTTTGCGGGCAACACTCAAAATTTTTACATTTCACCATATCCCATAACCAAGTTTTTAAGTTAAAGGAGGATTTCAATTTCAAAACATCTTATCTTAATGACAGAAACATTGTCTCTATTCATAAATGTAAAATCTGTAATCAAATCCAAATCTTAAAAAAAAAAATCTGCAATGCTTCATCAAATTGTTCATGTAACTTCCCCTTCCCACCAGTGTTATCATCTTAAAATCTTCTCAATAAGTAAATTACATTAACTTAAAATCTTCACATAAAAAAAAAAATAATAATAATAAATATAATACATAATATATTATCTGAAATCAAATTGCATGCTCATAGGAATATAACATGCCATGCACAATATAATAATTCAAAAAAGAAACAACACTACCATCTTAGCATTAAATTTTTAGTGCATTAATTCATGTCACAAGGTGAAGATCTTTTAACATTAAATTCGGAACTGTAACAGGAGGACTTTAACCATATATTAATTATGTGACAGGCCTTTAACCTAAATTCATATCAGAGGGTGTAATATTAAATAACTATTTGTTGCTAAGGACTATAATATGTTAGACTGAAATACGGTATCCGTTTTGTGTATTCTTACTATTGTGCGCGAGGTCCGTTATCCAAAGTTTGACAGAAAGGGCCGAGAAAATGTGACTGTCTCACAGACCAGGGTCTTTTAATGTAGGTGGCTCATTTTTTTTTGCAATTTGACATTGAAATCCCTTTAAAATTCAAATTAAGACTGTTTCATAGTCAAAGAGCTTGGCACAGTCATCCATTACACAAATTTAGCTTACGAAAACATTCCTTAAAATTAGGTCAATGTCTGACACATCAATCACACTATACATTTTAAAATTTTACTTAATTCATGCAAACGTTACATTAACATTCAGGTATTTTACATAAGAGACAGTGCAAAAAGTTTGACTTTTTCATCACAATATATTATACTTGACTGCTAAAATGCCGACTTGGAATAAATTACCCTACTTAAATTTTATTCACTGCTCTTGGGATGTTTGAATTATTATAACATGTGTAAGAGGACTGTTTAACACATTTTATTCCTTGTGCTTTAGGGACCATCTAGGTTTTGCTTTAACTTTTACCCCTAGACAAGTGTGGAGACAAATAATTAACATAATGAACATTATTTGTGTTTAATATTGCTGAGTTTTAGAACTTTCATAAATCTGGCAGTACTAAGAAAAACTGTATACATGTAGGTTATTGAGTTGTAAATGGCAACCTAAAATCTTATGTACATGTATATAACATAGTTGTAACATTAAAAAAATAAAACTTAAAAAATAATTTATCTGTGACACCATCTTTAAAAATGTTAACTCAACAAAGAAAATTGATATGGCAAGTGTTTGTTCCTATTTTGAGACACACACATGCAAATAATCTAACAAAATACATATATCAACATCTATCATGCAAAAAAATCAAGCCCATAAATCTTTCGTCTTGTTTTAAATATGGTATAATTTTTTTTAATCTCTTTTGCATAATTACTTCTCTTTTGCCTAATTATGTCTCTTTTGCCTAATTATGTTAATTTTAATATCTAAGACAGATTTTTTAATACACAGACGACTTGAAACATCTCAACCATGACAAAGTATCAAATTAAATGGCCATGCATCAATGTGGATGTTATTCATAATATTAAATACGTAAAATTCCTAATAAACGCCCCTCCCCTAATAAAGGCCCTCCCCATGCCTTTTGATAAGGAAAACAATCTACTCATCAGTGCTGAACTCATAATAAAAGCCATTCAGAATCCATTTTATTTTATAGTAAACACAAATATGTATAATATGAACTTTAAAACCTTAACACTTTTTAATGCCAACACTTGCTAACACTAAATGTATTTACAGTGATTTTTGGATTTAGGAAAAACTGTGTTAATAATAGCCCCCCCCCCCCTTTGGAAAATGTTTAGCCCCAGGGGGTGTTTAATAGGAATTTTACGGTACTTTTTAACATGCTTGGTATATTTGATAGGGTTCTGTATTCTGAGTTTTGACTCCAATCTCTGGATTTTCATTGGTACACAATCTGTGTCAGTTTTGGATGATGGACACACTGCCATCACAAAAATGCACCTCTCAGCACTTTGTGGACCGGCTAGCTAGAAATTAGGGAAGAAAGTGGGGAGAGAGTGCGTTGGGGGGTGATAGTTATTCCTATGCTTCAAATAATTGAGCTGTCCACGAAAATTGTCAATACTGCATTGCAAAATTGGCTGTAAAGTGCTTTGGAGTACAATCCAATACAATTTCCAATTTCATTATTATCAGAAATGGAAATTTATGCAGCAAATTTCTATGGACAGCTGAGTAGCAATTGTCTTGTGAATTGATTAAACGAATCGAGATGCTGCAAAAGTACATTAATCAACTTGTGCCATTTTGGAGGTTTAGATTGAAGCATGGTATCAGATAAACAGAAATGTTGATTTTTGTTTGTTTTGGTTGAAAGTGCCACATACAATGTTAACACTGATCTTATAGCAGTTAATATGGTATATTTCACAGAAAACATTTTCCTTAAACTTAGAGCCGGATGCCCTATTGAACTAAGGGAGTTGACTACAAGGACTTACACAAGTGTTTCTTAAGGCGTCAATGAGAGCCACTTTGATTTTTCCTCCTTAAATGGCCGTAATGTTATGGCTATAATAAATCATAGCTGGGGCATACCCTAGAAACAGTTTGTAACCAGGTTAACCACAGTAAAAGATATTATCCTATAGTTAATGCGCAATAGCATTTCTGAATGTACTGAGCAGTAATCCGACCTTAAGACTTACAGTGCCAAAAAAATGTGCTATAAAAAAGATGACATTAAATTGTCTCATATACAAATCAAGGGCTGAAAGTAAAACTTTTTCTAAGTCCATCTGTATTTCATAAAAGTTATTACTGTTTTGCGGTCAACCCTTGAAATAGATTATAAAATCCCGATCCGAACACCTATTTTAGATATTTATGTTATGAAAAGAGTAAAAATTAAAAAATTCAAAGCTGTGAAAATATGTAAATAATAATAAACAAAACAACACAAAATGAAAAAAATTAAGGATACAAAAGCAGTTATAAAATATTCTTCAATAAGATATGCAAGATATATATAAAATGCAGCTGAACAAAGAAACTTTTAAAAAAAAGCAGAATAGCAAAATGCAAAGAAGTCTGAAAAGTAAACAGGGTCACCAATTTTGAAAAAGCACACTAGCAATGTCATGCAAAACAGTAAGGGAACTGGGTTGACTAAAAACAGTAATCTACCTAAAGCAGGAAATAATGACGCAAAATTAATGTTATTAATATGCAACTATCACCAAGTTTAAGCAAGAACATATCTTTTTTTTAATCAGATCTAGAGAAAAGAAAGTGTGCACAAAGCTTTTACCCTCAACCGCCTGAATTTGTTTAATGGTTTTGCCCATCTTTGACAATGGAACAGTCTATTCAAATTATAAGGGATTTCATGATCAAATTACAAACATTGGGCCATTGATTAACAGTATAGAACTAGGTCAGACTCTACAATAGTGTAGGCCTGCCTGGCTTCGACCAAAAAACAGTCCATTTGAAGTATAAGGGATTTCCTTATCAAATTACAAACATTAAGCCATTAACAATATAGAACCAAGTCAAACTCCACATAAGTGCACACTGGCCTAGCTTAATTAATACTGAAGTGTGGCAAAGTTTTATCAGTTATAGTTCAAGGAGATTAACAATGAAGTTCTAAAAAAAAATATTTATGATGTGGTTTATTTTCATTTGAATTATATTGATTAATATTCAGTTTCAATATAACTTATCTTTTCCCATTTCTTATAAGTATTTTCCCATCAGAAAATGTAAATAACATTGATTTGGTAACATTGATATTATCCTCAGCTCTATTGCTGTCCTAGGATAAGTTTTTCATTTTTTATGAGGCAACAGATGCGCCAAAGAAAGCAACCCATTTTGCCGAAGGTCATGGGTGATACTAAAAATACAACTGATTTTAACAGCACTTTAACCGATAATACGGATTGCCAATTTGTTAAAAATGAAAACCCTGTAGGATGTCCATTTGTATACACATAACATAATTTTGTGCATGCGTTTTA